TAAAAAGTTGAATTTTGTAATTAGTGTCGGGGGGGGGGGGTCGTTGACTACATTTATCGCATTATTTTTAGCTCCCATGTCATCAAAAAAAATCTGAACGGAGCTCATGGGTTGACCAAACATTTCATCGTCCGTCCGTCGCACGTCGTCCTTCAACTTTTTGTCATTCGAACGACTCTTGTCAAGGTCGCACTTGTTATACAATTTACTGACTAATATGTTTTACAATTAGATTCTATATATTATTATTATATTCAGGAATACATATGCTATTTATAACGATAAATGTTTTCATTAATTTTAAAGAATATATTTTTACTTTTCTTTTATTTCACCTGTGAAAATTGCCTTTAAATATCAGGCTAAATTCACTTCATAAGTCTGTAACGAACATGAATATTGTGATTTCATAAAATAGCAGTATAATGATATACGAATAATTGTTTTAATTGCAAATTATTTCATGTAGCCTTATTCAGCACATCGATAATAATATCCTGTATATATAGTGAATAAATTATTTTTTTTATGAATATTTATGTGTTTGCTTTGCATTATTGCTACACACACTGTGGCCAAATATGAAACAATACCAGTGATAATCACTGTATACAAAATGTTCACACGAACATCATGGTCAAAATTTGTCTATATATTTGCTGTTTGTGACTGTATTTTATAAAATTCAAAGCACACATGTGTTGATTGTTTTATCTATAAAGCTTGTTCGTGTTTGCCTGGTGTAATTGTAGTCAACAGTTCAATGGAGACATTAGGTTAACGGGGTCGTGTCAAGGACACTATTGTTTGACACACTTGAATATATATTTACCATTGAAGGTAAAAAGAGAGGAGATAGGACGACTTTTAATCCGATATATTTCTTTTGGTTTCAAGCTGACAATATCGCATTATTGCTATTGTTTATATTTCGTATTACCCCGTCCTAGTACCGCTTATTTACTCAGCGAAATGGGATGAACTCACATTTTTCGTGACTGAAAAAAAAATCACCGTCACGAGTGGCACTGTGCATCAGCGAAGAGAGTGTATGCGCAGAAAGGTTCACGTGACGTCATAGGTCATTGACAAGGCCTGACACCGGTAGCCCTGCGTACAGTGCTGTGTGTGCGGGGACGCGTTCGGTTAATAGATGTCCCCACCACAGCCCTGCGTACCTCCATAGACAAAGTCCGGGACTTTGAAAAATATAATTTTTTAATGAAATAACAT